AAAAACAAACCAGCTGCCATAGAGTCAACTGCCACTCATGGAGATCCCACGTGTACAGAGTAGAACTGCTCCATAGGGTTTCCAAACTTGTGACTTTTTGGAAGCAGGTCACCAGGCCTTTCTTCCAAGGCATGTTTGGGTGGGTTTGAACCGCCAACCCTTTAGTTAGCAGTCAAGTGCTTAACCATTCTTGACACCCAGGGACACAGATGCATACCCTATCTGTTTTAAAACACAGACTATCACAGGGAGGTTATTTCCTGTTGGGGTACAGGGAGCTGTGCAGATGCGGACAGGGGTTCATGCTTTTTTGATGGTTGAGTCATGTGAATGTATTATCCATACAAAAACAGCAAATAAAAAATTGTGTTTTATCTGGCACTTTTATCTTCAAATACCCATTGTTACCGACTTAGTCAGCACCTCAGGATCTCTTTCTAAGGCTGTCTGCTAAGTACTAGCAGCACTACTGACTACTCAACTGGACCCGACTACTAGCCCTGGTCCGAAGCCCTGGTGGGGCAATGGTTAAACGTTCGGCTGCTAACTGAAAGGGGGTTCAAACCCACCCAGCAGGTCCACAGGAAAAGAGACCAGGCGATCGGCTCCTGTAAAGATTACAGCCTAGAAAATCCTATGGGGCAGTTCACTCTGTCACATGGGTTCACTATGAGTCTGAATCGACTAGACGGCACCTCACACCACCTGGTAGGAATTTTAAAGGGGATGCCTCAAACTTGGGGTTACGATATTTCCTTTCCCCTTCACATCCTCACTTACACTCCTAGCCTCTACTTGAGTCATCTTCAGGCTAAGCAGTCTACATTACTAAAAAAGTCTGATCCTACATCGATATCACTGGTAGATAACATGAGCCGATTTGGCAAGAATGTGCACAGGGGCCAAAGGGAAAGGGGGCGGCTGCTCCCCTGGGCCCTGTGAGTCTGAAGAGAGACTGCATGGAGTTTCCACACGCAGCGCAGTCCTCTGCACCCGTAAGATTGTATCACGTGCCTTGCAGAACAGACTCTGTACAAACGACTTGGTGCACCATGAGTGTTGCATTCGTCTGGAGCATCTGTACCTAAACAGATCAGACTTACAGTGCTTTTAGTCTAGGCTTGGTTTGGCTTAGTGACCTTCCTAAGGGCAGGGTGGGGCTGGGCAAGGTCTTGAGTGGATGGGATTAAAAAAAAAAACCTACTGCCATCGAGTCAATTCTGACTCCTAGCAACCCTATAGGATAGAGCAGAACCGCCCCATAGGCTTTCCAAGGCTGTTATCTTTGTGGAAGCAGACTGCCACACCTTTCTCCTGAAGAATGGCTGGTGGATTCGAACTTCCAACCTTTTGGTTAGCAGCCGAGTGCTTTAACCACTGTGCCACCAGGGGTCCTCAAAGCTTCACTCAACATGGGGCTTGAACCCACGACCCTGAGATTAAGAGTCTCATGCTCTACCGACTAAGCTAGACGGAGTGGAGTATTTCTCTCGCCCAGAGAATGAAGCTTCCCCTCATTTCTCTGCCCCAAGTACCAATCACTACCCCTGCCAATTCCGATGGATTCCAGAAAACAGTTTTGTAAGTCTCCTTTGGAGGCCTGCTAGGAGTCCCTGGGTGGTGCAAACGGTTAAGTGCTTAAGGGCTTACTACTAACCCAAAGTCTGATGGTTCATACCCACCCTGAGGCACTTCGGAAGAAAATCCTGGCAATCTGCTTCCAAAAGTTCATAGCCTGAAAACCATATGGAGCAGTTCTACTCGCCTACACATGGGGTCACCATGAGTCTGACTCCACAGCAACTTGTTTTGGGGTGTAGGGGAGGGCTGCTGCCCATTCCTTCAGGAAGCTTGAAGGGAAGAGTGCCTAAACCTGTCTCTCTTCTGAGGAGCAGGTGGGAAGCGCTGGACATCCTCCCACCATTTTACCTGAGCAGTCCTTCTTTCATTTGTGTTAATATAGGAGATACCGGTTGACCCCCAAAGCGTGTTCTCAATTCATATGTCAACCAGTTTCCAGGGGAGTCTTTCTGGACCTAGAGAATTGCTTAACGGACAGCATTCCACGGCTAAAGCCAGCATGTGTTCAGGAAGATGTGTGGGCACCTTAGGGAGCTAAGAACACACAATCAAGAGGAGACCAGATTAACCCAAGGACAGAGATCGGGGAACAAGCACAAAACGGTAATCACAGTAATCCTTGTATGTGCTATACTCTGGGCTAGAGATTTAGCATACATTTTCTCCAGTCCCCAGGACCTGCAAGGTAAGTAGCACTGCCTACACTAGATTGCTTACTATCTCTATCGTTTGTGATCTCTCTCTCTCTCTCTCACACACACACACACACACACACACACACACACACAAGCACGCGCGCGCGCACCTTACCTGCTGGCTCCCGCTCATCTGTTTCAGCTTAAATGTCCCTTCCTTTGAGGTCTTTGCTTAACACTCCATTTAATGTATGCCAACACCCCCCACCATTATTCATCATTTCAGTACCCAATTTATTTCATGTTGCTTATTTCACTTGTTAACTGACTTTTTTTTCATGACTATATTCTCCACTAGATTTTAAGCTTAGTGTGAGTAAGCATCATATTAATCTTCTCATTGTTCTGTCTCCAATGCCTAGCCCAATCAATGGCAGTAAGTAGTCAAAGTTATTTGCTGAATTAACAATTATTAACATTACTTAGGTTGTTAATTAATAATGACTTCAGTATGTGTTATTAATAAACTTTTAACGTTGGGCAGCAGTCTCAGCGATTAAAATGAGAAAAATAATAGATAATAGAAAAGAAGTGAAACATTAGGTTTCGGTTTAAGATTTCAAGAGGTCCTGAGAGCACAGCTAGGGCTCATTTTAATACACAGTCAATCTTATTCTTGATTATTTTCAGGAAAGGAGGTTTCACTCCCAGTTTCTAACTTGTTCATTCATCCATATATTTAAAAAAAGAAATATTTAGTGAATAATTTATTGTGTTAAACACTGAGGATACAAATATGCATAATATTCAATCTCTTTTCTTTAAGACCTCAGATACAGATCAAAAGAAATATAAGATAGTATGATAAGCATCTTAATAGTCACAAGTAGAAATTACTTTTAGAACACACTTTGTTTGGCGTGGGAATGACAGAGGGAGGTCACAAATTCAGAGGGAGAAAGCTCTGAATTAAAGTCACTTAAACTCGGAATTAAAACAAGTTAAAAACCCTCCAGCCTGTTTCCAGGCTGAATCATGCAAAGCTCGGGGAGGAGGGAGATTTACCCACTGCAATTATTCTCTGGTTTCCTTTAAGTAACAATGTAAGTCTAAGCAAAGTCCAAACCAAGGTGGGTAACAACAACAAAGCAACTTAGGGGAAACAGGCAGAGAAATGAGCAGGATCTACTTGTTTGGTTCAGGAAAACACAATAGCGTCTATAAGGTTGGTATCAAAAATTTGTTGGTGTTGTTGTGTTGTTGAGTCTATTCCGACTCATAGAGAGCCTATAGGACAGAAAAGAACTGCCCCATAGGATTTCCTAGGCTGGTGGCACAGTAGTTAAGCGCTCAGCTACTAACCAAAAGGTCAGCGGTTCGAATCCACCAGCTACTCTGCTGGAGAAAGATGTGGCAGTCCACTTCTGTAAAGATTTATCTGCTTCTGTAAAGATTTACAGCCTTGGGATCCTATGGGGCAGTTCTACTCTGTCCTGCAGGGTCACTAGGAGTCAGAATCAAGTTGACAGCAATGAGTTTAATCTTTACGGATGCAAACTGCCACATCTTTCTCCCGTGGAGCTGCTGGTGGATTCGAACCTCCAACCTTTTGGTTAGCAGCGGAGCATTTTAACCACTGTATGAGCAAGGCTCCTGACAGAAATTAGGGGCCTGAAAAAAACACACACACACAACCACCCATTTCCACATACCCCCACCCCCACCTGCCCCCATTATGTCATCCTTCCCCAGTCAGGGTAACGCACTGGTCCAGAGTTTATCTCCAAACATTTGGAAACAGTTAACCTTTAATTTACTGAATAAATATGAAACTGTCAGCCGATGTCTCAATCAAAGCCAAGTGGTGTCCCAGCTGGGTTAGGTGTCAAAGCCCACAGCAAGTGTGGGTGGATGGTGCAGGACACAGGAGACGCCCTGTGTGGAAGGCCGTTACTGAGCAGGGGATGTGGCAAGGAGCGGGGGGAGCATGGGGGGGGCAGGGAGCAGAAGCGAGGGGCCCTTTCACCTTAACATAAAGTAACACAGGAACATGCACTCTCACACTTTCTTAGGTTCTTCCGTCTTTAGCTCTGAAGAGGCTCAAAACATTCAGAATGAACAAGAGAAAAACCAAGATGAGGGAGAAAAGAGCTTGGGGAGGTACCAAGAATTCTCCCTGAACTTCACAGTCTTGGGTTCTGAGATTTGGTCCAGGACTTCATCTCCTTGTTTTATCTGAACTCATGTGACATCCCAAATCAAAAATGAGAAAATTCTACACTGGCTTCAAGACTAATTTTATTTGCTAAAATCCAGCATACTGAGTCACCAAGTACCTTAATTCATTTAAACATTTACTTTAAACACCTACTCAAATAGTAGGCATTTTGCTAAAAGCAAGGGCCTGGAAACCCTCCCAGTATCACTGGATGGTTGTGGTGGGGGGGAGTGTGATGGGGTGTGTGTGAAGGAAACAAATAGTTACAACAGAGTGAGGACAGAAGAATAGAAACAGTGCCCGAGGCGGTCAGCGGAGGCTTACTGGGAGGCAGCGGCGTTTCAGCAGAGTCCACCAGCTGGACCAAGAGAGAGAGAGCACTCCAGGCTGAAAGAGCACCATGTGCATCCCCAGGGAGGCACGACCGCAGGCCTGCTGGGTCAAGGAGTGACACATTCTAGCACAGCTCGTATTGGGGTGCCAGAGAGGCCTGGTAGGAGACTGATGATGAAGGGCCTCGACTCAAGGGGCCAGACTTTATTTCATAGGTGACGCGGAGCCACAGATGGATTTTAAGCAAAAGAGAGGCATGTCCTGATTTGCATTTTGGAAAATCAGCCTGTGTTTTGGAAAGAGGCAGTGAAGAAAATAAAATCAGAAGAGGGGAGAGACTTAAAATGTATGAGTTTCTATCCATCACATATAAACTATTTCTGTTCAAAAGAACAGTTCAGACTAAAAAGCCAATATTAATTACAAACCTGTACGCAGTACTTGGAGTCCATGGGTGGTGCAAACGATTAACGCCATCGACTGCTAATCTAAAGGTTGGAGGTTCAAGTCCATAGAGAAGTGCCTTGGAAGACAGGCGTGGTAGTCTACTTCTGAAAAACTAGCCACTGAAAACCCTATGGAGCACAGTTCTACTCTGACATACATGGGGCCATCATGAGTTGGAACTGACTCAATGGCAACTTTTATTTTTTTCAATGCAGCACCAGTGGCTAAGTGCTCGGCTGCTAACCAAAAGGTCAGCAGTTTGAACCCACCAGCAGCTCTGCGGGAGAAAGACGTGGCAGTCTGCTTCTGTAAAGATTTACAGGCTTAGAAACCCTATGGGGCAGTTCTACTCTGCCCTATAGGGCCGCTATGAGTTGGAATCGACTTGACGGCAACGAGTGGTGCATACCAGGCTCATGTACTAATTTAATCTTCACAAAAATCCTCTGTAAAATTCCTACTTGATTGGGTTACTGTAAAGATAAATTAATAACAATTTTGTATGTAAAGCACATAGCACGGTGTCTGGCACATGGTAAACTCTCAGAAATGGCTCCTTGCTAATGGTGTAGTGAAAAATACTACAAGTCTGTTTAAATTTAAAACAAAAGAGTTTTATTACAGCAGGAAAAAAAGCATTTCATGAAACAGGAAACGCAGTGCTGGGAGAAATCCAACAACGTGCTCCAGCTAGCTACAGTGTAACAGGTTTAAAAAGGCAAAAACCTCCAACAGGGAGGGGGGCAGCTGGAACATCTCTGATTGGTCAACATTTACAAAGTTGCAGGTGGCAAAGTCTTAGTTGACCACTCTTGCAAGAGTTGACCTCCTTTGCAAAGAGGGGGGCTCCAGGTGACGGGACATGGCTGACCATGAATTTCCTGGAATATTTTTAAATGCAGTTATTCCTAAATACAGAGTATTGAAAAAGGGGGCCAGAAAAATATTTCTTTAAGGAAGTCTAAGGGTATGGCTTAGCCACTAAAGTCACATGTTTAACACTATGCCTAACACCTGTACAAAGCTGAATAATCTCTTCTTAACATCGAGCATTTCTAACCACAAATTTGAAATAAGCAGAGCAGGGTAAGCAAAACTGCATTTTTCTGTAGAACTGCTTGTATCTAGGTGAAAGATACAGTGGAAATTTTACAGAAGTGACAGACTGCATGATATGACAGACGCTGTCTTTAAAAATGCAAAATGGAGTCACTTAGGACAAGAAGGGATTTGGCCCAGACCTTAGCCAGAAGTTCCAGCCATG